TTATTAGTTTTTAATTAAGATGTTAATTAGAGTTGTTAGAATTAATTTTCCTTTGGACCATATGATGCTTAAATGAGTGGACAGTATGTATTGGTGAATGAAGTCAGCAGCAGCGCATGAAGCTTTCAAGAAACAAAAAGATGTGGCTATGATTTATTCGAACAAAGAAAAGGGCTAAGATTAAGGATCAAAGATGAGTCTTAATACTTGCTATAAAAAGAAGCCACACCAAAGAGGAAAGTTGCCAATTTCGAATCTACAAATTTGAGTGCACACTTTCCTTACAAAGCTTCCTGATTTAATCTGCTATGTTATTTAATTGTTAAGAAGATTTAATCTGTAATACATGACCTGTACGTGGTACTGCTGAAGCATCTTGTGAAGATTGTTCAGGCATACGTGTGTTAGTCCTGGATAGGTGTTAGAAAGAGTGGTAGTGGTAAAGGATGGAGGCCATCTATATTTACCTCTTGTAATACTTCTTTTGGTGAACATCTATAGTGGATTGGGCAGACGTGGGGTGCCCCGCAGACGTAGGAGAAGGAGCTCCGAACTGCGTAACAATTCTTCTGTGTTTTTACTTTATTTTATGCTTTCTGTCTTCATTATTTATATTTGTTTAAACAAGTTTAATTAATGAACGTAACTGGTGCATAACTTAAAAAAACAAGTAAAAATACGTTATTTGTTGATTTCAAGTCTCACGGTGCAATTTCAGTAACATCTGTAACGATTATGTCATTTATTAAAATATTTAATGATGGTACATGTGTATATATTCATATATTGGAACAGGAGATGTGTGGCTCTATATGGCTTATTGTGTTCTTCATCTTTTCTCTACCTTCTTTATCTACATTTCAGTTGATCCATATGTTTGAACCAATAGGCTGATTACAACAATACCTACCCCATATAAATTCAGTTGTTATGCCATGGAACAGTGTTCACCATGGTTGGTGAACACGGTTCCATACGACACCGTTTAGAGTGAGTGGGACTAACGGTGCCCGTAAGTGGCACCGTTAACTCCCACCACTCACATTATTATTATTATTTTTTTAAAATTAAACGCGCCAATAGCGTTTCCAGTTCCCACTACACCATTTCACTTCCTCTCCACGCAACCTCCATCCCTCTGCTCTCTGAACTCCACTCTCGAGCTCTCTTCTCTCACTTCGTCTTCCACAGCCATTTCCTTCGATCACTCTCAAACTCTCTGCTCCACAGCCATTCCTCTCTGCTCTCGCATTTCTCGTTCTCGCATTTCTCGAACAAAACTTCGCGTTCTCCCGTAGCTATCAAAGGAGACAGCCTCTCCATCGCTCATTCTCAACGTTGCTTCACTTGTCTTACAGGTATTTTGTACATGATGTGTTTATGATTTAGGGTTTTTGTATTCTGTGTACATATTTTGAAATTTTAAAATGGGGTTTTGAATGTAATGTTATGAGCTTATGAATGTATATCTGATATGTGACTGTTATTGATGTTATGAACTTTCTAATATGTGCTTATGTATTTTCTGTGAGAGATTATGAATTTTCTCATAGGAGATTATGAATTCTGTATTGTGAGTTGTGAATTTTATGTTCTGTAGTTATGAATTTTCTGTTCTGGGGTTATGAATTTTCTGTTATGAGGTTATGAATTTCCCTTGTGATATTATGAATTTTATGTTACTATATTATGAATTATATGTGACTGTTATTGATGGACAATATGAGATTATGAATTTTCTAATATGAGATTATGAATTCTACAATGTCAGTTGTGAATTTTCTGTTCTGTATTTATGAATTTTCTGTATTACAGTTATGAACTTTCTGTTCTAAGGTTATGAATTTTCTGTTCTGAGGTTTTTTGAATTTTCTTTGTGATATTATGAATTTTATGTTACTATATTATGAATTATGTGTGACTGTTATTGATGGACAATATATTCTTTTTGGTAGAGCATGGCTGGATTTATTCGGCACTCCCATCCCCCCTCTACTGAAATAAGGAATATATTTTCCATCAATCTATATTATATGTTGTATATGACTTACTTGCTTTCTAACATTTTTAATAAAAGCAATGGACACTGCTCAACGAAAGAGAACACGCTCACAAACAAAGGCAGTCTTGAGCTCTCAAGTTGCACAACCATCACAACCCTCACAGACAACAGCTGAACAAAATACTGCAGTCAAAACTACGACAAAAAACAAGAGAAAACGAACAACAAGGGCTGTACTTGACTCACAAGCTGCTCAACCATCCCAGCAGCAGTCCGATGACCTGCTCGAGCAAGAAGTGATTAGAGAAAAGAGATCAAAACAGATAAATGATAGACATAGGGGTAAAACAGCCATTGTGCAGAATACTGAAGCAGATGGAGGTGATCGTGCAGAAGGGAGTTCTACTTCCTACTTCAGCACACGGATGGGACCAAAGACCATGTTCAGGCTTGTACAACAGCTAACGCCAGAACAAAAACAATCTGTCCGTGATATTGGTTTCGGAGCCCTGTTGGACCTTCAATTGTGTGCAAATGAGTCACAATTAGTCCAGTATTTGCTAAACAACTTTGAGCTTTTCCAAACACATTTCAAACTGGAGAACGACAAGCTCACTATTGAAGAAGAGGACATTGAGTACACTCTTGGCATTCCAAGAGGAGAAAAGAAGGTTGTTGAGGCCCCAAAATATGATGAACAGGGGACATCGGAGTACAGGGCTCTCTTGCAAAGATGGAGGCAAAGGTGGAATATTAAGCTTGGTTCCCCAATCACTACCAAGATGGGAGATGTCATAGTTCAAAGGGGAGATTATGGAGATGAATTTAAGAGAGACTTCATGGTCTTAACTGTTTCGTGCATGATGCGGGGATTTCAGACACGCTACTGCAACAACAGAATCCTCAACTCCTTGATTAATGTTGATGAGATAAAGGAGTACAACTGGTGTAGCTACACCTACAACTCTCTGATCAAATCCATCGAGCAGTACAAGAAGAAAAGTAGTAGCTTCTTTACTGGACCAATGACATTCATATTGGTAAGTTCTAGTTCCACTTATGAATCTTATGATATTCAGATTGTGAATTATATGTGTCAGATTATGAATTTTCCTCTAAGAATTTTCCTCTATATGATTATGAATTTTCCTTTATGTCATTATGCATATTCCTCTATGTGATTATGAAGTTAAAGTATGTACTTATGAATTTTATGCTGTTTGGATTTTATGAGAATTATATGTGTCAGATTATGAATTTTCCTTTATCAGCATATGAATTTTCCTTTATGTGCTTATGAATTTTCCTCTATGTGATTATGAATTTACAGTATGTACTTATGAATTTTATGCTATTTAGATTTTATGAGAATTATATGTGTCAGATTATGAATTTTCCTTTATTTGATTATGAATGTTCCTTTATGTAATTATGAATTTTCCTTGTTGTCATTATGAATGTTCTTTTAATGTTATGCAATAATGAATCTCATAATAGAAAGTTCATAATTGCATAACATAAAATCCATAATATGATAGTTGAATATAGTGTTCATATGGATTATGAATTTTCTATTATGGTATTATGAATTTTCTGTAATGTAATTATGAATTTTGTGTTAGGATATTATGAATTTATAGTTATGGAATTATGATTATAACTTTTTTATTTTACCTTTTTCTTGAACATTGTAGCTATTCTACTTTGATCAGGTCCAGTTCAAAGGAATGAGGGTTCAAAGAACATATCCAAGCATTACTGCATGGACAAAAAAACTTGCACGACAAAGCGTTTCTGCTGAGAAAAGGTCGGGCGGATATGGTAAAGGGAAAGTTATCCCTCGTATTGCAAAGCCTACTGCTGACTGTATTGCTTCTACTTCAGCCCAACCAGTCCCAACCATCTCTGTGCCGCCATCCAGTGTTGACAGGGTCACGCAAGTTCTACAACGCCTTGCTGCTGATGTCTTGGAATTCGGTGAGGCTATGGTTGAAGTTGGAAAACAAAACGCCCCTGTGGATGTTATGAAGGCTGCATTTTCTGGGATTTCTACCTTGATTGGCGTAGCAAGCACGATAGAAAGACCACCAACTCCAACCTCCTCTCAACTTGACGACATCTTCTTTGGCCAGGAGTCTTTCACAAAGGCTGTTGATGCCTTGGTTGAAGCCTTCCAAAAGACCACTCGGCAAATGGAGTTTGACCCTCCCTCGTTTGATTTAGGGATTTCTTATACCTCGGCGCCATTGGTTGACGAACCACAGGAGCAGGGCGCATTGGATGAAGATCAATTGGATGTCCTTGTTCAGAACATTGTGAAAGACGCTCCTGGTGCTGCTGATGCTGCTACACTCGCTGCTACTCCTACCGCTACCCCTGCTGCAACCCCTGCTGCTACGCATGGTGCTACGCCTGTTTCTTCCCCTGCTGCTTCATCTTCTGAAACCCATGCTGCTACCCCTGCTGCATCAAGTTCTGAAAGACGAGAAATAATTCCATTGATTGAGGTTCCATTCGCTAGAGATGTCCCTGGTGCTGCTGATACTTCTACGCCTGCTGCTACACTTCCTGCTACCCTCGATGATATTGATAGGTAAACTAATTAGAATATGAAATTGTGTTATGAACTTTCTGATATTATATTATGACTTTTCTTCTGAAAGATTATGAATTTTCACATATGAGATTATGAGTTTTCTATTATGAGTATGAAATTACAGTTTTGATATTATGAACTTTCTGATATGCAATTATGTATTTTCTGTTCTGTATTTATGAATTTTCTGTACTGCAGTTATGAATTTTCTGAACTGAGATTGTGCAATTATGATGATATTAACTAGCTTCATGTGTTTACAGTGCATTTCTGGACAGTGAATCTGATGTCGAGGATGTCACCATACGAAAGAGACCAATCCGAAAATACAAAAACATCCCGCTAAATTTGAGGTCACCTTTCTGGACAAAGAATTTACCGTCTGACCATAATGCTAGTGTCACCGAGAGGGCCGTATCAAACTACGCCTTCATGGATGCTTCTACAAATCATCCAATAGAGTATGTTTGAATCTAACCATTTAAAAAACTTTTTATTTTCATGAATATTTCACATTTATAACCATGTATTAATTCATTTACCTATTTATCAAACTTTTTTGTTGATGTAGTGAAACTCTGTTTAGCTTTGATGATTTCTCAATGACAAGAGGAGATTTCCACACCCTACGCAGCGGTGAAATTTTTAGCACATTCATCGATGTATGGGCGTTGAGGCTTACACTCCTCAACACAAAACGGGCATTGGGGAAGCCAAAGTGCATCTATTTTAGCACGTTGGTACATGTAAGTTAATACCAACAATTTTTACTCTGCTCACTTATGAATTTTCTGTTAAACCATTCTGTATTTTATGTCATGTAAATATGTATTTTCTGTGTGTGATTATGAATTTTCTCATATGAGATTATGAATTTTCTATTGTGAGTTTATGAAATTACATTTTTGATATTATGAACTTTCTGATGTGAGATTATGTATTTTCTGTGTGAGATTATGAATTTTCCCATATGGCATTATGAATTTTCAATTGTGAGTTATGAAATTACAATTTTGATATTATGAATTTTCTGTTCTGTGGTTATGTATTTTCTTTGTAATATTATGGATTTTATGTTATGATATTATGAACTATGTATGACTGTCATTACATATTGCACAACTTATCATTGATACGTATTTTTTTCCCCTTAGCTTCAACTTGACCCAACTGAACAGTGGATGAAGAATCTTCCGCTTCAAAAGCGGAAGGAGAATTTCAATGAGCGGTTACAATATGAAATTTCCAAATTTGGAAATCTTGACGTCAATGATGCTGATTTGGTAATTTATAATTACCCACGTTCAACATTTATTCATTAATGACATATTTCTTCTCTATTCTAACTACTTCTTCTTTTGATGTTAGATATTTTTCCCCGTGCTTCGACACGAACACTACTTTATTGTCTATATTAACACCATCTCAAAAAGTGTTGAAATCATAGAAAACAAGATGCTGCCTAAGGATGTTACTGAAGCTGACAAGTATGAAGATTGCCCTAGTCTACTGGTAACTTAACCTTAAACATGACCTTCCAAACATTTGTTATACATTTCCTATGAATCATTATCACACTAGTTTCATTTTTGTCCAGATGACTGCTTTGAAAGAGTACTTGACTGCAGAAAAATCACCCCTACTCCGTAAGATACAAAAGCTTCCTGTATCATACTTGGCCATTCCTTGGAAGGAGCTTGACAATGTCATTGACTGTGGCATATATGTCATGCGACACATGGAGTCGTACAAGGGGAATGTTCAAGATTGGGACAGTGGATTCAAGATAGGCACCTGTGTAAATGTAAGAGTATAAGATATATTAATTTCAACTTAGATTTGCTTTTTTTTTATTTTTTATTTATTTTTTATTTTTTTAACATCTTTTTTTTTTTTTGTTTTTTGTTTTTTGTTTTTTTTGAAGGCTGACTTCCTTTGGGAACTTAGAGTTAAATACGCGTAAAACATTATCACATGGGGTAGGAACACTGAAAGATTGCGAGTTATGAAGGCAGCAAAGGATCTCTCAAAGAAGAAATGAAACTATACCGCTTTTTGGTGTTTGAATATGTTGTGAACATGAAGCATTAATTTTGTCAATACTTCATTTTGAAATATTGACTGTTGGTACCCTAGATTGAGAATCTCTCATTTTGTAATGTGCACAGATATTTTGCACCTGTGAATATACAATCTATTACTCTTAATTCAGATTACATATGGATCATGTAGATTTATGAATTTTCAACTACCATATTATGAATTTTCTATTATGCAATTATGAACTTTCTATTATGAGATTATGAATGTATACGTGTTAGCTATAACTGAAAATTCATTATTACATAACATTAAAATAACATTCATAATGACAACAAGGAAAATTCATAATCACATAAAGTAACATTCATAATCAAATAAAGGAATTGAACATTCATAATCTGACACATAATTCTCATAAAATCTAAATAGCATAAAATTCATAAGCACATACTGTAAATTCATAATCACATATAGGAAAATTCATAATCACATAAAGGAAAATTCATAATCACATAAAGGAAGATTCATAATCTGAGACATAATTCTCGTAAACTCTAAATAGCATAAAATTCATAAGTACATACTGTAAATTCATAATCACATAGAGGAAAATTCATAATCACATAAAGAAAAAGTTCATAAACTGGTAAAGGAAAATTCATAATCTGACACATAATTCACAGTCTAATATCATAAGATTCGTAAGTACATACTGTAAGTTCATAATGACATAAAGAAAAATCCATAATGACACAAAGGAAAATGCATAATCACATGAATGAAAATTCATAAACTGACACATAGTATTTTGCATAGTATTCATCACAACACTGCTAAACATATGAAGTTCTATTAACACAATCTCAATCTATAGCTACATCGTGGTCTACATTCTTATTAAAATGAACAAACTGTGAACCCCCAGTGCTTGGATGTACAAGATATCCATCACAAGCAATCTCTGAAATATTTTCCAAGACCAATGATTCAGAGCCCTTTGTAATTGAAGCAAGCTTGTTTGCAGCACTCTTTCTCCCCTTTGCTGCATTGTACTTCTTCTCAATAACACTACTACTCCTTTTATTTCTCACACCTTTACTCCTCCGGCTTGAAGGGTCTTAGACAATACCACTTGACGAAGACACAGCACCCTCCTCAATATTCACATCCCCAATCTCAGCTTCAATGTTTTTCCTTGCATTCTCAACAGCTTCATCACAGAATTGTCTAGCAACACTGTTATCTTGGCTACAAACAATAAGCCTTTGAAATTTCCTACTAATCTCAACAGCCCAAATTGAAGAAGGGACACCACCATTATAAAACACGGATGCAATGTCCACATTTCTACCCTCAACAACCTTTTTAGTCCATCTTTTTAGAATGTATTTATCGGGAATACTGGAAACACAGTGCACATGAAGTATACGTAAGTAGTGGCAGCAAAGTATTCCCAATTCTGAAAACAGCTTGCAACTACAGCATATATCCAAATTGATTGGCTTAAAAGTTACTTCATGCCTTATGATATCTATGTCTGGTCGCCACACGTGATACTTGCACTTACAACCATCGTTCAACACCATTTCTTGATAACAAGAGCTACCTTTCATAAATTGTTCCTCGAACAAAAAATATATCTCAATTGTATAAACCTCTCTAGCATGTGAAAGGAGTTTCACATGATCCATCATCATGGCGGGTACTCCTTGAGAACACCGGAAATCTTCACCATTTTCCTTACTTCTCCATTCAGAAATAACACTCACAAAGGATGAATAAAAATCACATAAACCAGCAGTCTTGGACAACCTCCTAGAAATTGAATGATTTGTGCTTTCACTCCTTTGCGAAGATAAAATACCCCCGGAGAAATAATCCTTGTTGAACGCTGGACACCACTTCTCCCTACAGTCATAAAGCTTCTCTAGCCATGTATTCTTATGACAATTATATTTTGTAACCATCTTGAAAAAGTTAAAACACATGTTTACTAATCATATTCTGAAAATTCATAATCTCATATTAGAAAGTTCATAATCATATAACAGAAAATACATAATGACATAACAGAAAATACATAATTGTATACTGTGAATTCATAATCTCATATTACACAGTTCATAATCATATAACAGAAAATACATAATGACATAACATAAAATCCAGAATTGTATAACTGTGAATTCATAATCTCATATTAAAAAATTCATAAATCATATAACAGAAAATACATAATGACATAACAGAAAATACATAATGACATAACAGAAAATTCAGAATTATATAATGTAAATTCATAATAACATACATTGTCCAGTAAACTTCAAACTCCGCTTCAGTCTCGGTGTATTTCAACACACAATTGAACATATCCAGAAAATCCTTATGATTCCTTAATGCCTTGATATGCTTCTTCGAATTCTCACCAATATGCCATATGCAAAGACGGTGACGTGATGTAGGAAACACCATGGAAATGCCAGCAGCCATAGCTGAACATTGATCCGTCATGATAGTCTGTGGACACTTGCCATCCATGGATCTTAAAAACGCTCTAAACAACCACGCAAATGACTCTATCCTCTCATTCATCAAAAAACCACATCCAAACATTACATTCATGCAATGATGGTTCATCCCTACAAAAGGACCACAAATCATATCATATTTGTTAGTGCGATATGTTGTATCATGCACTAACAGATCACCAAACACCTCATAATCCCTTCTCATTTGACCATCCATCCAAAAAAAACTACACAATCTTCCATCCAAATCAACTTCGAAATCAAAAAAGAAATCAGTCTCATTAGATTGCCTCCTCCTGAATATTTCAATCAAAGAATTGGAATCAGTTCCATCCAAACACTTCAAACTCACAGAAGCCATCGAATTGTAAGCATCGCGGTTGGTAAAGCCAACCAATGGAGAACCCCCTGACTGATGTTTCAAAAACCTCATACCATCCGCCAATGCAACACCACTATTCTTCATGTCTTTTAAATATTCAAGCTGATTGTTTCCCACTCTTCTATGCGACCGGAGCAGATAACTCTTGCCAAATGAACATAACTCATGATTTTGCTCTTTCAAATGTTTTGTAACTGTCCACATCCCATCACCCCCCACATCAAACTGAACAAATGCACCACAGCCAGTCCTCATATCAATCTTTGAATAAAGCTTAACACCACTGTTTGGTTTCTGCTTATACCCAGCCTTAGCACAGAAGAACTTCTTCATCTGAATTGACTTAGTAGATGCCTTATAACGTTGTTGGCCTTTCTTCACACTAAAACCAACTCTGTATGCATATCCATTATATAACTCAAAAGCTTCATCAACATTGCTTACTACAACACCAACCAAGTCTTCATCAACTGCAATTGCAACAAAAATATAACCACACCTATACCAACTACTAAAATATGAATGTGCAGTTCATTATAGGTTTGATAGAAATATATTCTTCATTTACGTAGAGGGGGTACGGGGAATGCCGAATAAATCTAGCCATGCTCTACATAAGAAGAACATATTTTCCATCAATAACATATACACATAAATCATATACTCATGGCATAAAATGCATAAACTCATAACATAAAATTCATAATCTCATATAAAAAATTCATAATCTCATATAGAAAATTCATAATAACATAACGGAAAATTCATAACCTCAAAAATGTAAATTCATAACGTGAATAGAGTATTAATACCAATCACAACATTCAATTTGCATATAATCACCATGAATCAGTACCTACACCTACCAGAAACAACATTCATGATACACAAACTAATAAAAAGAACCTGGACTTGAAGACGAGCCATCAATGTCAATGTTTAACTCTGCTTGATCATTGCTTATTGAATCACCAACAAAGTCTTCATTCACTGAGTATATGCAAACAGTGTAACATACCAGTTAATATGTTATGAACATTGTACTATTACATTATGAATATTCATATCACATGCATGAACAGAGTATCAAAATTCATAATTGCGTAACAGAAAATACATAATCTCATATTGTAAAATTCATAACAGAGACATGGTACTAATACACAATTACAACATTATGAACATTCAAACTGCATAGATACTGAACAAATACCAATAAAAATAACTAAATCTTCAACAATCCATGATCTCATAAATCAAACGAAATCAAACGCATAAAATCGAATGCAACCTGGAATCGCAGAAATCATATCGGTGGAATCTTCTCCTCGAACCGTCGTCTCCTCCATCGCGAATAGGAAAGAATCGCGAATGTCGGATCACAACTGCCTTCAGAGAATTGCGAATAGGAAAGAATCAAACGCAAAGAGTTGTCGGATCAGAACTGCCTTCAAAGAATTGCTTTCCTAACGTCGTTAATAGAACAGTGTTTTTTTTTTGTTTTTGTTTTTTTTTTTAAAAGACGCCAAAAACGACGTCGTTTGGAAGCGTGTTCACCAAGCATGGTGAACACGTTTCCACGGCATAATTTGCGATATAAATTGCAATTCATTGTGGAAAAAAAAAAGAGAAGAAAAACACATTTTTGCTCTTTCATCATCACCATCACCATCACCATCACCATCATCATACAAGGACATTTTTATCTTTATATCACTTCTTTTTTCTCATTCGCAATAATTAAAATCTTTCCTACCAAATGATGTAATTTGTTCCTACTTTATTTCCACCTTATTCTTTTTCCATCGAATTACAACTTTTTCCCCTAATTCCCTTCTTTCAACCAAAAGCGCTGTTTAGAACTTTTCATTGCAATATATCCAATGTCAAATTTGTAATTTATTTAAAAATTGAGGGCAATTGAAAAAAATTCTAAATATTAGATAAAAAAAAAATTTAACCGCACGATTTGAGATCAATGATTAATAGAAGTGTATTTTTTAGGGC